TTTTGGAAATATATTCCCCGAAACTACGGGACTTATTGTTGTCAAATAGTATACGTATGTTAGAAATATCATGCTCCCCATATTTATCTAATTATCCCCATTAACAAATTGTGACCTTCAAATAATGTACAGTAAATGTTATTTAAATTTTATAAAATAACATACTCCAGGTGTGTTTTATGAACGCCCTGAGTTTTTACTCTAGAAATTCAATCCCCCCCATCAAAAAAAAAAAATACAAATTATAGAAGAACATTCTGGAGGAGTATAATAGCAACACGAAGCATGTGGATGTCGTTGATTCGCTCTTCCATAGAGTGACTTTTTTTCTTACATTTTGACTGATATCATGTATATATTTTATCATGAATACAATATTACATTTTCCTTATCCTGACGCGCCAATTTATAATGAAAAAATCTGAGTCAAAGACAGCAAAAATACCCGTAGGGGGCGTTATAGCACAAGCGAAGTTTGGGGCTCCTGGTTGTGGCTGTTCTCCTCACCACGACGGTGAGTCTATCTATTGCGAGTATTGCCGCACAGCACATCTCCATGACGAACATGCCGTACGAGCAACGACAGATTAATGTCATCTCGACCGACCCTGACTTCTATTCAAACCTGCGTTTTTTGTGCAGATGGCGCAATTAATCCCCCCAGCTCGACTAGGAACCGCGCCCTTTGCTTCTACTACGTATTTCGGTGTTATTTAATCTCAATTTAATTTAAATGTTCAATTTCTATGACTTTGAGAATAAACTACAACTGAACAAGTGTCAAAGTTTCAAAAAGAGCAATAAACAACATTTAAATTCGCCATACACTCTCGTGACATTTTAAACAACAAAGAACTCTTATCTGAGATTAAGACTGAACATCAGACAATTATTTGATGCAGCAAGATATTTACATAACAAAAACTAGCAACGATTTATAAAAATAAAAAGATCTGGTAACATTTGTGTAGACAAAAAATTACGTAAAGTTAGAACTGCAGAGCATGAAAATTTACGTTCAATTTAAATTATGCAACAAAGAAAATTACTGAGGCTAACATTGTGAATGCGAAAAATTGTATGAAGTGAAAAATTGCAAAGCTTACAAAATTACATGAATTTTATATTTTATGTCCATTCGAGTTATTGGTTAAATTTTAAAAGTTACGTTATTCAGATGCATTGTGGGCCATCGTTTGCATTTCCCTAGACAAACACAAAAAAACACAGCAGGCAATTTGGAGGTTCAAAATGGCGTCGGACGAATGCGTCGTTCAAAAAAATGCGTCAAAAATATGTTTTCCAGAAATGTGATCAATCCTGTGGCGCTGTGCAAATAATGGTCTAAATCAAAGGAATAAAATGCACCTCCCACATTGTTGTTAATTTGTTCGATAAGATTTTTCAGTTTAAACATGTGCTACACAAACACAAAGGATTTACCTGAAGTTAAATTATGCTACACTTTATCAACGATTCAAACAAAGAGTTTACATTAGGTTAAATTATGCCACACTTTATCAATGATTCAAACAAATAATTTACATTATGTTCAATGATGTCTTGATCCATCTGATTAGTTACTTAAAACCATTAGCTTTGAGAGTTTATATCGGGAACCGTCCCAGCTTATCCCAGACAAAACACATGATAAAAAAACAACACAAAATGCATCAGGTGTTGCGAGGAAAGCTCCTCGGTGATATAATTAGATAAACAAAAGATGTGTCCTGACTAAGTGAATTTCATGAATGTCCTAACAAGCGCAATATCCAAACAAACTTTTAAATTGTGTTAGAAACAGTTAACGATTAAACTCCTGACATGAACTGTGAATTTCCAAACACTAAAACAAATATACACACGAGTTGGCGTCGGTCGAAGAATTAGCTACGTGTGTTGGGAACCTGTGGCGTCGTGGTCGTTACGATTAATTTTCGTTAAATAAACGCTTACTCCTTTTTATTAACTACCAAACCAACTAAACTTAACCTAGCTAACTCACCACGCAGTTACACTCACAACAAACACACCAAGAGTGACCGCCACTGAACGGAATAACTCATCTATCAAACCGCCCTCTTCCACCAACTCTCTAACTAAAATTCCAAGCAGAACTACCCACTACCCAAAAAGCGCTAACGTGCACATGGTTGCCTGTGTTTGACGATTTTTTTATTGATTTTTTTTTTAATTCAAATTATTCAAATGTGATTTCGCGCCGTTGCATTGGTAATTTTTTCAGCACGAAATTTTAATTCAAATTCGGTCACCACAATATCTAACAAAGTTTTTCGAAAATATAAAATGGAAATGACTTATTTCCCCAGCGTAACCCAAGAGAATTTTTGTAATAGGATCATTTCATATTTTCTTGATATTTCATGACACTAGAGTACAAAACGAAAAAAGCTAGTCAAAATTTTTCATCTCAATTTTTTTGTAGTACATGCCAAATAAATTGAAAAAAGTAACACAGTTGCAGTTGCGGTTAGGAATTTCGCTTGATTTTGTTTCTTATTATTATAATTTTTTTACTCAATATTTCTCGAGAACATACCGGTCTTATAATACACAATACCATCCAGACGAAACGTGGGCTATGGGTCAGTGGCACCTTTCCGTCTGGAGGACCCGAAGTTCGATTTCCGATATATCCATTTTTTTGTTACACTGACTTATTTACCCTTCACTTCAGGGGTCCAAATAATCTGGGATTAACATTTTGTATTAAGCAAATCTCGGTGTTAATAGCAGAAACAATCGTAAATTGTAACTGTCGGCTGTCTTCGCTCCTTGTTCTGAGTTTATGGTTTCTTAGGATAATGTATTTGTGCTAATGCAAAATCGAGTCGTCGATAGAAGTATCCACGCCTTATTTAGCGTTGCTTATATAGAATTACCCTAAAAACTAACGGATAGGATAATTTATTTGATAGATTAAACTGACAGTGAAAACCTTGCATATATTTATAGTATGGTTATACATTGGGGCTTTGATTACTACAACAATTTTATAATTATTGCTTCAGAACTAATTTAAATCGAGTCTTGTAAAGTGAATTTAAACTGAAATGGGGTTCGATTTCTTGTAATTGTAGCAATGTCTTTTAATCAGACTCTGCTAGATCTAAACCAAACTAGATTCACTTAATCCAATCAGTCTGAACTTGCGCTGTCCATCCGTATCGTAGATCTCGCAGTGTTAATGACGGAATGATTTTATGTTCAATTTTATAGCAGTTAATATTACACGCTGATTTAATAGCTGATACTATAAAAGTAACAATAATTTGCAACAAATTACACACCGGGTTCAATGTTTTTAATGCTGACAAGTTTTCGATCGATTTTCCGAAAAAATGATTACTTATGAATAAACACCAATTAACGCTGATTAACAAGGTCGATACTGTTTTTGTAGCAAGGATTTACGGAGTCGAGATTGATATAGAATACATGTACTCAAATTAGAGGCAAAATTGAAATTCAGTTTGCGAAATAATACAATGTATTTTGAGATGAAAATTTAACCGTTGAATTTGCTGGTTACATTGTCACCACACTGTAGGTAAATAAATAATAGGCTGTGTGCATGCTTTAGCAAATTTATTATACCAGATGACAAACATCGACACATACACCCATAAATAAAACAATACAAAATTTGAATCAATATTACTCGATTGACAGTGTTTGATGAATAAAGCTCACCACAAACAAATAAAAAAAAACGTATTGTTTTCCACACAGTGAACTTCGATCTCCAAACGTTTCTACAATTTTTGTGCATATCGCAGGATTTTAATATTTTAAGTTCGACAATCCTTAACTACTCCAACAGGAAAATTCCCTCTCGCGAAAACGCCATTAAAAAGGATTACCCCGTAAGTGACGTATTTAAAGGAACGTGATCTCTATCCGTCAAAGCTTTTATTCCAATAAATTTAAAATTTTTGTGATTCAAACAGCGCGCATTCTTTAAGGAAAGTTTCAGCAGCCGGGAGTTACGGAAACGATCAAATTTTTCAAAGTTTGAAAGCTCTTTTCAAGTAAATCAATCCTTCTGTTCGCGTTAGACATAAGTTTTTTTTAATCGTAATATTATACTAAAGAGAAACTTTTAGAGGCGTTATCGGCGCAGTTCAGCACTGTGTGCTGCTGCTGTCTTTCAATAAAACAATTTCGACACTAACGTACTTCAATTAAAAGAAAAGAAGATTGATCGCGGAGCACGGAATTTTTCCTCGGAAACGTTCAGAAGTGAAATAAGTTCGCAACTTGTCGGAGTTTCGTATTGTTCGTTGAGGTTGGTTAAACATTCATAAATCTGCACAATATGTGAATTTAGTTCTGGTGCGAGCAAATGTAACGCCGACTTGGTCGTGCTTTATTTGTGTCGCTAGCTGCGTTAATTGTTTTATTTTATTGACAGGGTATTGATTGTTTTTTAATGGCGTGACTACGAAAGTACTTGTACAATTTGTAAGGTAAACTGTAATTATAATGATTAACAATACAGGTGAGTTATTAAAAATAAATTACAGTCAAAGAGTGGAAAATGTCAGCGGGTAATTACCTGGCTCGTTTAAGATTTAATAAAATAATTGGGACAAGGGGAGCGTTTATTAAAAATTTCATACAAAGTGCGTATGCCATACAAGGACCTACTACGCGGAAACCGCTCCAATTTTCATATTGTACGTCATGTGTTGGTTTTCTTCGTCGTTCACTACAATATGAGTTTATATTTAAATTACGCATTGTGATATTTTATGGCAACCCTCGGGCCCACATTCTGCTGTCTTTATTAATACCACCCTTAAAATGTCATACGTATGTAGTAATATTATTTAATCGCATTAGAAAATGTCACAACGGCATTATTAAATTTCAGTTGGGGCGACTTTACAATGTCACAAAATGAATTTTACGACCCTCGGAATTACGTTATAATTGTTATTGTGGTTCTTTGTTTTAACGGCGTATTTTTGTTACAGGTGGCGTGGTTGAGAGTGGACACACAGACCATTCTTACGATACATAATCACGTAGTCACGAAGAACCACCGAATCGGGGTGACCCACAGCGAGCTCAAGACTTGGTACCTCCACATAAGGGAAGTGCGCGAGTCCGATAAGGGCTGGTATATGTGTCAGATCAACACCGACCCGATGAAGAGTCAAATTTGTTACCTTGACGTTGTAGGTGAGTTGTGGTGTGAAAATACGAAACATTAAGCAGAATCGGTCCTGACGAAGCTAATTTGAAAAATGGATGTTGTCGGCAGCGAAAAACACGAAGGTTTAAATCATGTCCTATGAAAATAAAATAACGGTAAAGAATTTGTGCGGCGATATTTAAATACTGCTTTAAAAATCGGGGAAAATGATTTAGAGAGAACTCCTACGAAGTTAATAGTAAAGAAAATAATGTCCTTAGTGTTTCTAATGGATTGTAATCACCCACTTACAGCAAAACTATGTAGACGAAAACTAACTCTAATTATGGGTTGAAATAAATCAACTAAAATAGCCTTTAGTGTGGTACCGTAGACACAGAGTAGTATTGGAATTACTAAGTATTAGAACACTGTGTAAAAAACACTAATTTCCATTATTATTACACGAGTTCGACTTTGTAAAACGAGACGCTGGCGGCAAGTTTTTACAAAAAAACGAGTTACGAACAACAAGTTTCTTACACTATTAAATCTACTGAGGGATTCCAAGCCACAAAAAATGCTCTAAGAAAGTCTATTAAAGCATTGGTTCAGGTGGAATGAGTGCTTTAATCTGACTGTCAAGAACATCGATTTAGAAAAAAATGTTAACGGCTAAAACACATTGTACGGTAGTATAATTATAGACAAGAAAACATTAAGTTCGATTACGAAGAACCGATTAAATATTTTACCTTCAAAGGTGAGATGTTGCTACTGGATAAGTTTATCGTCATCTGCATAAGGCAACTTGCTACTTGATACTATTATTTTATGTAGAACGTCGTTCATAAATATTGTAAACAGTAAAGGACCGAAAGTAAACCCTGAACATAACTCTGAAATAAGTGAAAAGGGCCAGAAACTTAGACATTTAGTAAATACGTCTTTAGTTTTCAATTAGTGAACAACTAGTACCTTTATTTTTGTACAATATAAGGGGGCATCTAGTTGTATTTCCGTTTTTCTATGTTATTTCTACAAATATGTATTATAAAATAAATGCAGATTTGTGCTCCTAAGCAAATTTCTTGTAAAATAGACATTTTTCGCTCGATTAAGTATTTCAAATAAGATAGACTTTTGCTCCGATGCATTTGCACGCCGAAATACTTTTGGCCCTTTCTGAATTATTTCGACAAATATTACGTACTGATTAAAGATTCGTGGTTCTAAATAAATTTCTGCTAAATTGAGTTATTTTTCGATCGATTGGAGTAACCTTCATTTTTCGTAATTAAATTCTGAGAAAATTTCAGATTAGGCACACATTTTTTTCGATCGATTTAAGCAACTTGAATTTTATTATTTCAATCAATATTAGAAAAAAAATTGCAGATTTGTGACCCTGAGAAAAGTGCAAATTACAGAGTTACTTACTTAATCACGTTCCTCTTCTGCCATACGATGTAGAGGTTCAAATTATAGACATAACCTCTAATATCCCTGTGAGAAACTTTTATTTTTTTTTTAACTAGTGATCTTTTTCGATCGATCTGAGGAACTATCATTTTTGGAAAAACAAAGTGATGGAGGCTCTATGTTATTGCAAAAACTATTACAAAAATAATTACAGATCATTCATGATTCTGAGAAGATTCGTAATATGATAGACACCCTTTTTGGATTGATTTGATCAACTTTGAATTTTCAAAAAATTTAAAATGGAGTTCCTCAGGTACATCTGCGTTTTCTCTGTTATTTCACGTACTATTGGAAAAATAATTACAAATTAATGATCCTGTAAAGATTTCGGGTGCAGTAAACACGTTTCACTATCAATTGGAAAACTTTTATTTTTGTTAAAAAATGGTGGAGGCGCCGGAATAGATTTGGTATTTTTTTTCTGTTATTTCAACAACGATTAAAAAAATAGGCGCCTGTTCGTGATCTTAAGAAAAATATTTTAAAATATTAATTACATATTATAAGCCAATTTCTAATAGGAGGGCAAGTTTTATCACCGGTTTGAGCAACTTTTGTTTTTGTCAAAAAATGTGGATGCGCCGAAATAAAATTGCGTTTTACGCTGTTATTTGGATAATTATTATTACCATAATTAAAGCTTATGATCTCAAGAAAATTTTTAATGAAACGGGCATCCTTTTTGATCGATTTGAGCAAATTTAATTAAAAAAAAAAACGGAAAAGGCGCGGATATACATATATTTATCTTTTTCTCCGTTATTTCACGAACTATTACAACAGTAATAAAATATTGGTAATCCTGTAAAGATACACATGTTTTTCGATTGATTTGAGCAACTTAAATTTTTCGAAAAAAAAACAAGTTATATTTATTTGTCTTTCTCTTTTTTATTCCACCAAAATTTTAAAAGATAGACGTCTTTTTCAATCGCCTTGAAGAAATAATTAAAAACTTATGATTCTAAGCACATTTCTCATAAGGCAGAAATAACGGAGAAAAAACGCATCCATAATTTTATTCTTCCAAAAATGAAAGTTGATTTCAGCGATTAATTTAAAAAAAAAATATTGGAAGTGCCAAGGATACATCAATTTTTTCCTGTGTTATTTCAGCAACTATCACAAAAATAATAAAAAATCGTGATCCTGTGAAGATTTCGGATAAGATGGACATCTTTTCCGATCGATTTGGGCAATTTAATTTTTAGAAACAAAAATCGTGAAGTAAGTCGCTGAAAGACATATGCCCTTTTCTCTATTTTCGAGCGAACTATTAGAAAAATAATTACAGATTTGTAATACTGAGAAGATTCCGGATAAGAAAGACACATTTTTTTTATCGAATAGAGCAGATGAATTTTTTTGGATTGGAGCAATTTTTATTATTTTTTTTTAGATGCTAGGGACGCCGAGAGAAAATTGCGCTTTGTTCTAATATTTTGACAAGTATTGCAAACATAATTTACAAATTCGTGTTCTTCAGGAGTTTTCTGGTGAGCTGGAGTTCTTCGGTCGATTTATGTATACTAAATATTTCTAAACAAAAATAACGGTTGGGCGCGAAGATCCATTCGGGTTTTTCTCTCCTATTTGTACAAATATATATTACAAAAATAATGACAGATTCGTTGGCCTTAAAAGATTTGAGATGAGCCAGGTATCCTTTCGATAGATTAGAATAATTTGTGTTTTTTTTTGTAAACAAATAGAGAGGCCCTAATATACTTTTGCGTTTTGCTTTGTTACTTCTTTGTTATTTCAATAAATAGGATACCAACAATTACAAATTCTGGATCCTAAGCAAATTCCTTGTAAGATAGACATCTTTCACAAACGATTTGAACAGCTTTTATTTTTATAAAAAATGGTGGATGCGCCGAGCTTAATTTCAGTTTTTGTCTGTTATTTTAAAAAATATTACGACTCTAATTTTTTGTAAAAAATGCTGGAATGTCTTTGTTATTTCAAGAAATTTTACAAAAATAATTACAGACTGATGATCCTAACGAGATTTCTGATAAAATAAACATCTTTTTCGATCGTTCTGAGCAACTTTCATTTTTGGAAGAATAAAATGATGGAGGCGCCTTTTTCTCCGTTAATTCAAAAACTTTCACAAAAATAATTGCAAGTTCGTAACTCTGAAAACATGTTGGATACGATGGACACATTTTTGGATTGATTTGGGCAAACTTTTAATTTCCAAAAAATAATAAATGGAGCTGCCGATGAACATTTCGATGTTTCTCTGTTATTTGACGAATTATTATAAAAATAATTACAAATTCTTGATCCAGAGAAAATTTCGGGTGCAGTAGACATATTTTATTATCAATCGGAGTAACTTTTATTTTTGGTAAACAATGGTGGAGGCGCCGGGATAAATTTGTTTTTTTCGGTTATTTCAACAACAATTACAAAAATAGGTACAGATTCGTGATCTTGAGAAGATTTCAGTTAAGACTGAAATCGTTCTCGATCGATTTGAAAACAAATGGAGGAGCCGAGGTTAATTTGCTTTTTTCGGTGTTATTTGACGAACTATTAGAAAAATAATGCCAGATTCGTAATCCTAAGACAATTTCGGTTCAGATGGACACCTTTCCTTATTGATTTCAACAACTTTTATTGTAATGAGTTGTAGAGACGTCGAAATAAATTTGGGTTTCTCGATGTTATTTCAATGAACAGCATTATTAATTGTTATTAATTTTGCTGAAATAAATTTTGGTTTTTCTATGTTATTTTAGAAAATATTACAGAAATAATTATTATGGATTTATGATTCTAAGTAAATTGCTCATAATTCAGACATACCATCTTTCGATTGATTTGGACGATTAATTTTTCGAAAAAAAAAATGGTGGAGGCGCCAAAGGTATAAGTATTAATTTTTTCCTGTGATTTTTCAGCAACTATCACAAAAATACTAACAAATAGCGATCCTGTGAAGATTTCGGATAAGATGGACATTTTTTCCGATCGATTTGGGCAATTTATTTTTTTGAAACAAAAATGGTTGAGGCGCTGAAAGATTTTTTCTTTATTTTCTAGCGAAGTATTAGAAAAATAATTACGGATTTGTAATCCTGAGAACATTTCGGATAAGATAGACACATTTTTGGATCTATTTGAGCAGATTAATTTTTTTGGAATGGAACAATTTTAATTTTTGTAAAAAATGGTGGAGGCGTCCGGATAAATTTGCGCTTTGCTCTATTATTTTAACATGTATTATAAACAAAATTTACAAATTCGGGATTCTGAGAAATTTTCTGGTGAGCTGGAGATCAGCATCCTTTGGATCTATTAGAACAACTTGTGCTTTATTTGTAAAAAATAGGGAGGCACTAATATACATTTGCGTTTTCTTTTGTTATTTCTTTGTTATTTCAATAAATAGTACACCAATAATTACAGATTCTCGATCCTAAGCAAATTTCCGGTAATATAGACATCTTCCACGATGTATCTGAGCAACTATTATTTTTTGTAAACAATGGTGGAGGCGCCGGGATATTTGCCTTTTTTCTGTTAATTCAATAACCATTACAAAAAT